TGAATAATGAGGGGCTGGGGCTCAGTGGTAGAGCGCTTGCCTACCATGTGTGAGGCATTGAGTTCGATCCTCAGCACCACATAAAAAATAAAGATATTGTGTCCACCTATAACTAAAAATAAAATTAAAAAAATGGATAATGAAAATACTGAGTTTTCTAACCTATCAATATGGTATAATCTTATGCTCATTTAATTCTTTAATTTCTCTCAGCAGTGTTTTGTAGTCTTCAGTGAACAGGTCTTACCTGTGTTATGTCAGTTTTCTCTCTACTTCACATTTCTATGCTACTGTAATTAGCTTTATTTTCTCCATTTTTGATTGCTTATTGCTGACAACTTGAAACAATTCATTTTTGTTATTGGTCTTGTATTATAGCTTGCAAACTTATTGAACTCATTATCAGTACCAGTAGCTTTTTTTGGCGATTCCATCACACGTTTTACATACATGATCATATCATTGTAAACAGTTTCATTTCTTCTTTCCCAATCTGGATGCCTTTGATTTCTTTTTTTTTTTTTTTGTCTTATTGCATTAGCTAGAACCGCCATCAGAATGTTGAGGAGGTGAAGAGAGCAGACATCTTGCCTCGCTCCAATCTCCAGTGAAAGCACTTAGTATTTCACCAGCAAATACACTGCTAAGTGTAGAATTTGTGAAGATATTCATTATCAGGTTGAGGATATTCCATTCTATTTCTAGCTTTTTGAGAGTTAATCAAATATGAATATGGGTTTTGTATCACAATAATCATCAGGAAAATGCAAATAAAATGCTGGTGAGATACCACTACATATATATCAGAATGGCTAAAATTTTTAAAAATTGAAATACTGGTAAGGATGCAGACTAACCAAAGCTCTCATTCACTACTGGTGGCAGTATGGCATAGCCACTTTAGAAACGGTTTGGCAGTTTCTTAAAAAAGTTAAAAACGTACCTAACCAAGAGAAATGAAAGTACGTGTACATACAAAGAATTGTACATGAATGTTCATAGTTGCTTTGTCTTCTCCAAACATTGGGAACAATCCAGATATCCATCAACAGGCGAACAGGTAAACAATTACGGTATAGTCATGTCACATACCAGCAACAAAAAGGAATTAATTCTTTATTTATTTTTCTTTTTATAACACTAGAGTGTATTTTGACACGTCATACACACATTCTTGTGGTTGTACCTGATATGGGGTTTCACTCATCGTGTATTCAAATATGAACATAGGAAAGTGATGTCCCACTCATTCTACTGGGAATGAATTCTCTTCTTTGTGTGTGTGTATGTGTGTGTGTGTGTGTTATTTGTGAGAATGAATTCTTGATACCTGCAATAATGTGGACGAATCTCAAAATAATTATACTAATTATACTGAGTAGAAGAAGCAGACAAAAAGAACAGACACTCTATGATGTCTTACACAAAATTCTTGAAATGCAAACTACTCTATGGAGACAGAAAGGAGATCAACGGTTGATTGCTTGTGAATGAGGGAAGAGAGGCAGGGAGAGGTGAGAGGAGGGATCAGACGGAATACCAGGAGATCTGGAGGGTGATGGACATGTCATTGTCATGATAAGTTTCACAGATGTATACATATGTTGAAATTTATCCAATTGTACATTTTAAATAAGTGCAGTTATGCTAATTATATCTCAATAAAGCTATTTAGAAGTGGAATAATAAAAATCTTAAAAGAATATTAGTGTTATAAATGATTAAAAGAATATATACATAAGATTTAAAAATAACTATTCTCTGAGATTTTAACCACGAAGCTAGCAAAGAATAGTAGTAGGGTGAGGAGAATGTCTTAAAATACAAGCAGCCAGCGGGTCTGGTGGCGCACACCTGTAATACCAGCAGTCTGGGAGGCTGAGGCAGGTGGATTGCAAGTTCAAAGCCAGCCTCAGCAACTTAGGGAGGCACTAAGCAATTCAGTGAGACCCTGTCTCTAAATAAAATATAAAAAAGGGCTGGGGATGTGGCTCAGTGGTAAAGCATCCCTGGTTCACTCCCTGCTACCAAAAAAAAATAAAAATCACACACACACACACACACGCAGCTAAATCTCCCATGATAACGTGGGGGACTGAAGTCATATTTAGAGAACTGGCAGCTAACAAAAGAGTATGGAAGAACTGCAAGTCCAGCAGAGGCAGCTCTGATCAGCCACTGGGCCCCCCTTTAAAGGCATCGGTGCCAATCCACCCCAGATGGGGATGGACCTCTGACTCCCACGTCACAAGCCTGTTACTCCTCCAAATGTCCCGAGTCAGAAAGCAGGTTGGCGCCCTCCCAGAGTTCTCTGCTCCTCCATAGGAGACCCCCCAGCCCCCCACCCTGGCCATGCCACCCTGCCTCCTGTTCTTCACACTTAACTATCAGTGAGCCCTTACCCTGGTAACGCATTTGACAGATTCACGTCCGTCTAGAGCTTTACCTCATGGCCCGAGAAGGCAGGAGTTGACTGCCTTCAGAAGCAAGGAGGTACCAGCACATTCCTTCACACAGAGGGACGTCCCCCTGGGGAGGGCAATAAACACAGGCCTTGGGCACAGGCCTGAGTTCCTCATCTCTGGGGACTGCTGTGGCCCCTCAGTGCCAGGTTCTGTTGGACCCACCTGTGTCTTCTTCCTGATCTTCTCACTGGAAGGCAAATTCCCCAGTGCCAGGGACCAAGTCTCTCTGGCAGCTGTGTCCCTCAGCTCCTAGGGCCACGGTGGCCCATGCCAGGAGCCCAGGAAATGGATGCAATGGCATGCATGGTGAGACAGCGCAGGGACCCAGGAGGTGATCACATCAGGCAGCACGTGGTTCCTCACCCACAACCAGGAGGTTCCAACTCTGCCCCTGGATGGGTACCTCTGCCCCCTTCTAGAGTGGAGCCAGTTTGACTGACGAGAACATGGTGGGCTGAGTCAGAACGAGGCTGGACACCGCCGCCAGTCTGTCTGCTTTCTGTGAACCCTGGCTCGCTCCCGGCCTGTCTCGTGCTGCTTGGAACCTTGTGGAATCTCTCCTTGATTGTTCTCCCTACCCCTCTTTTTTCTCCTTCTTTTTTAATCCTCTTTTGCAATGCTGGGGATTGAACCTAGGACCCCAGGCTGCTGGACTCTACCACTGAGCACATCACCGGCCCTCCTTCCCCTCTTCAAATTACCATCGGGCCAGGCATGGTGGTGCACGCCTAAAATCCCAGCAGCTCAGGAGGCTGAGCCAGGAGGATCATGAGTTCAAAGCCAGCCTCTGCAACTTAGCAAGGCCCTAAGCAACTCAGTGAGACCCTGTCTCTAAATAAAATATAAACATGGGCTGGGGTGTGGCTCAGTGGTTGAGCACCCCTGGGTTCAATCCCCCGTACATAAAAAGAAACCTATCCTAGCTCCCCCTTCCTCTCCCTGGCCACTCATGTCCTTCCCTGCTGGGTCGACTCTGCCTCCTGTCCTTGTCAGGCTCCTCTCTCCCAACTGTGTCAACTCCTCTAGGCCCCCAACACCATCTAAGATGACACCTTGACTGCAGAGGAGGCCAACCCTGTACCCACTGTCCTTCCCTCCCACAAGCACCTCCCTCTTTCTAAACCCCAAAGCCTTTTCTGCCTTCCTTATGCCCTGCACAACCTTCTGCCAAGCCCGAGAGTGACACAGGACACCTTTCTGCCCAACCTCCAGGGCAGTCGAGGGCAAAGCCACAATTCCTCATCTGACTGCAGCCCCGCCATAGCTCGCCCGCACCTCGCCCATATACCCTTGTTAAGGGAATGGTTCTTCAATCAATCAACAATAAATAAAAACAACCTACAGGAGGAAGTAGGAGCTTTGACGATCACCTCAGGTTCTGTGTTGCTCTATGCTGAGATTTACTCAGTGTCTTTTTGCGGAGACCCAAGGGGGTCTCACTTCAGGTCACTGTTGGACTAGTTGCCCTGGGGCCCCTGGTAACCCTGAGTCTCCAGCTCAGGGCTCTTCTCAGAGTTGCAAGCAGACCCCTGCCCCACCTTTCCTCTGGGACACTTGTTCCGGGTGTGTGATCCAAAGACCTAACCTCCATTTTTGCAGGACTTGGACCCGGTGACTTTGGGTCACTTCCATGACTGGGATCGTTCACCAGCATCTGCTCTGGCTCAGAGGAAGATTCCCTAGCAGCAGGGACAGTGCACCCAGCACAGAGGGCCAGCGCTCACCTGGGCGTGTCGGGCCTGGAGTGCCACTCGGTCCCAGCCACCTTCCCTCAGATTCTCTCTGGCATGGAGTTCAGCATTCTGGCACCTTGAGGTACACGTCTGTCCCTCCCCTAGCTGAAAGTGCTTTGAGGAACAGCCCAGGTCCTGCCCCTCGTAGTGTGCTCAGTGTCTGGGGCCCAGCAACATGGTGGTGATGGGGGATGAAGACACTTGGGGAAGAGTGTGCCAGGTTTTGTTGGGTCACACTGAGCATCGAGCGCTTCTGTGGTCCCCTTTCTATGAGCACTGGCAGAATCTGAGGGAGGAGAACAAGCCAGGGCTAGAGAGCTGGGGCACTTCAACTTGGCCAGGGGAGGGCAAGTGGCTGAGGGGCTTCGTGCTATGTTCACAACAACATAGCGGATGGGGCTGGGCCAGACATCGGGGCTGCATCTCACTCTGAGCCCTGACACCTGACCCTCTGACCCTGGCCAACTGTTTGAGCGCTCTGAGTTCTGGGCATATGCTAAATGCACATGAAAATACTGTCCCTGCCCATTCCACAGGGTAAAGCCATATAAACAGGAGGACACTCTCTGGAGACACTCTGTATGGGACACCAAGTCCTTCTTGGAACTCTCCCCGAGCATAAGTCCTTCAGATCCCAATCCCACCTGCAACACAACAGGCCTCTCACCTGCGGGGTGCAGATGCCAACCAGCAGGTGCAAGGTGATGCAGGGACCCACATCCACCATGACACCCAGGGCCCTTCCGAGCCCCACGCGGTCCAGGTTGGCACTGGGGAAAGGAGAGAAATCCAGCTCTGCGCGTGTGTTCCAAGGAGGTTTATTAGTAAGCACACTAGGGAGCTCTGGGTCCTTGCCCAGAACAAGGGGCTGAGAACATCCAGACAGGGACGTGGGGCCACCAGAGCCAACAGGCCTGGCTCCCATGGAAATGGCCTTGTTCCTGCTTCAAGCACACAGAATTCTCCCTCCTGTGCCCTCTAAGTGTCCTCCTGAGGAGGCAGGGAAGTCGGGGGCCTTCTCCCCAGACAGCCAGCTCCCTCAAGGTTCCCTAACTTGCCTGACAACCACCCGCCCTCGCCCCAAGAAATCTGGACAGGCCCTGTCTGCTCCCCCACCTTGGTCAGGGTTGGGACCCCCACATCCTGCAGAGCCAACCCCATGCCCAGCCCAGCACGCCCAGCTCACTTCGAGAGCCTGACAAATAAAGTCTTGAGTGGACAAATTTCAGCAGGTTGGCCAACTGCTCCTCCAGGTGCTGCTCATCTCCGTGGTTCTCGATGACCCAGTCAAAGTCCCCAAAATCGTCCAGGTCGCATTCTGACTCAGCGTCATCCACCCCTGTGGAGAGGCATGGTGAAGTCAGACCCCAGCCCTGCAGACGTGGAGGCCAGCTGGCTCAGGCGGAGAGGGTCCTCCCCCTGCCTCTTCACTGCTGTCCCAAAGTCAAGCTCTGCCCACCTGGAGGGCATCCCCACCGGCTCCAACACTGTGGTGCAGACGCACCGCCCACGGCCAGCTGACTGAACTCTTCACTTGCCACTTCGCACAGAGGGTGAACCGCATCATGGAAAACCACAAACAAGCTGGGCATGGTGGCCCATGCCTGTGACCCCAGCCACTTGGGAGCTAAGGCAGGGGGACCTCAAGTTCAAAGCCAGCCCCAGCAACTTAGTGACACCCTGTCTCAAAATAAAACAATATGAAGGGCTGAGGATGTGGCTCAGTGGTAGAGCACTCCTGGATCCATCCCCAGTCCCAGAATGAAATAAAATAAAACCACACACAACCCAAAAGGCATGATGCTTTAGTGTGAATCACGGCTATGTTCATTTCCTTCTTTCTTTTTTAGTAGAATGGACACAATACTTTTATTTTATTTATTTTTATGTGGTGCTGAGGATCCATCCCAGTGCCTCACACGTGCCAGGCAAGTGCGCTACCACTGAGCCACAACCCCAGCCCCCGCTGTGTTCATTTCTACCCTCCATCTGTCTGATCCAGTCCTCCGAGGAGGCCACGTGTGCGGGGCTAGAAGCAGAGGCGTTCTCTGTGGCCCTTCCAGGCTGCTGCTCTTGTACGTCACAGGCCTGGGAACAGCAGCATCCACTTGGTGGGTTTGGGGCGCTGGTCAGTGAGCTGCTGCCTGCCAGGTGCTCAGCCCAGCCTGGCCGACAGCAGCGGCCAGGAGACCAGCAGGCAGCAGGGTGGTACCCTTGACCTGAGCTTCTGTGGCACAGTGACCAGAGGCAAGCAGGAGGCCTGAGCTGGTCTTCAGAACGGCCTGCAAAGCCAGTCCTGGGCCAGCGTCCCTGAGACTCCTGAGAGCTCCCGCCTCGGGACACCCCTCAGCAGGTGTGTGCATCAGGAGGAACTAGGCTGGTCCGGCTTTCTCCTCCCCGGCTGTCAGCCCCCACAGAGCTGCAAGGCAAAGGTGAGGGTCATGGGGTAGGTCTCAGCCAGACCCCCAGAGAAGCCCATCGGCCTTGAGAAGACAGCCTGGGTAAAGGGACCAAGTCAGAGTCACAGGGAGACCTTGACCCTCCAGAACACCCTCTGCCGTCCCACTGCTGAGCCCTAGGCCTCAGACCCCTCCTTAGAACCTCTCCCCCACTGTCCTCAGGCTTACCAAGGAGCCAGCAGGAGGCCCAGGACACTGGGGTCAGGGTCCGTGTCCTCCACGGGGTGTGTCTCATCTGTGAACCAAGCCCTGGGGACAGATGCTACAAGCAGCTTACCTGGCGTGAACACCCAGCCCCGCTGCTGCCGGCTCTGCTCCGAGGCGAACACGCGGACCGTCTGCATCGCAGCCCCATAGGCCTCCCGAAACCACTGGATGTCAGACACCCTCCGTGTGTCACTCACCAGCTGCAGGGCAGGGACACAGGCAGGTTGCTGCAGCTGGCGGGAAGGGGGATACCAGAGAAACCAAACCACTGCGCAGCTCCACCCCGGCATCGTGAGCACCGGAGCAGCTAGGACAGAGCAGCTGGCCTCAGTTCCTCATTCCATTCGGTCACACACTGAGAGAACACTGCTGAGTGCTGACCCCCTGCAGACTGCTTGTTCAGCCGACTAGAGCACCGCACAAGGGTTTCAGGAAGCACCTACGAGGTGCTGGCACTGTGCTGAGGCTAGAGTGGTAAAATGCACCTGTCTTCAGAGCCTATAATACAGCTGGGCACAGTGGCACATGCCTGTAACCCAGTGACGCAGGAGGATCGCAAGTTCAAGACCAGCCTCAGCAACTTAGTGAGGCTCTAAGCAACTTAGCTAAACCCTGTGTCAAAATAAAAAATAAACAAGGGTTAGGGATGTGACTCAGTGGTTGAGCACCCCTGGGTTATCCCCAGTACCAAAAAAAGAAAGAAAAACAAAAGAGATTGATTTATTTAAGGAACAGAGAAGGAAGGGGCAGCTGCAGCTCAGAGAGTAAAGAGGCTAAAAGGAGCAGGAGCAATGTCCAAAAGTTCACGTTAAGGACTGATTTTGTTCACAAGAATGACGGGTAACCACCAAAGGGTCTTGTTTTGGGTCCCCCCACCCCAGTATTCCCAAGTAGCTGAAATGACAGGCGTGCGCATCCAGCACTAAAGTGTTGCAGACTAACGGTGCCGTGAGTAGTGTTCTTTGTAAAAGGATCACAGGACGAGAGCCAGAGCCAGAGCCAGAGCCAGAGACCGAGAGGAGTGGAGGCTGCTGTGACGCCTGGGGAAAGACGGGGGACTTGCACAGGACCAGGGCAGGGCAGACAGGGGCTGGGAACCGTGAGGGCTGTGGAGAGAAGTTGTCCTCAGGCTGCCAAGGTGACCTCTTACCCAGATGGGCTGGGAGACGCCTTCTACGATCTTCCTGCAGAAAAAGCCCGGGTCGGCCCGGCGCTTCTCCTCCCCCCAGCGGATCATGTCCCTCCGATAGGCCTCCTTGTAGGTGCTGGCGTCCAGAAGTCTCTGGAAGTCCAGGCCGTGCTCCTGTCCAAAGCATAATGCGCCTCAGGCACTGCCCTCTCAGCCTCCAAGGCCCTCCGAGAGCCCCGCCGCACCACCTCCCCAGCACCTCCCCAGCCGTAGAGCAAGAATGACTCCAGCCATGAGGCCAAAGGTCTGCAAAGGAGAGAGTTCTGGAGCAGGCACTCAGAGGTGAGAGAAAGGTCTGGGGCCATCCAGAAACTGTTTCCATCTGTCTTTGAATGTTTGATGTGGTTTTCTCTTTGCAGATTTTACCTTCCCAATTATTTCTGGCTTAAACTAATCCTGAAATTCGTTGGCAACCCCTGGGCATAGGCTTAGCCTTCAACTCAAGTGGGAAATCTGACAAAAACCAACAAACTTCACAGCACGTGCCCCACCCCAGCTCCTGGGGAAGCCCTGCCTCCGCCCCCGTCCCTTCCCCTTCCCCACATCCTGGCACTCTGCTGAAAACCCTGGTCCGAGGGGGAGCTGCCTCCAGACCTGGCCTCCCCATCTCCAAGATCCTGACAGCCAGAGGGGCACATCCAAGGGGTCCAGGCCAGGAAGGGGAGTGAAGAGCGTCACCCCGCTCAGGTCTGGTTCCCCTTCAGCAAGGCCTTCCCCCCCAGGCTCCCTCTCTCCTCCTGCTTTTCTGGGATGAGGGTAGGGGATGGAGACTGAGCCCAGAGGCACTTACCACCGAGCCACATTCCCCGCCTTTTTCACTTTTTGGAGACAAGTTCTTGCTGAGGGGCCCAGGCTGACCTCAAACTTGTGATCCTCCTGCCTCAGGAGCCAGTGGGACTTGTGCCACTGCATCTGCAGCAGCTCTCAGCTCCTTGGTCCCCACCTGATGCCCTGTTCCAAGGAGAGGGCAGCAGCTACCTCCTGCTTCTCAGCTATCCCCTCCCCTCCACTGGGAGCATGTGGCCTGCTTGTTGGTTATGTTTCCACCTGTGACCTGGGTCATCAATTCAGCAACCTTTTTTTCTTTCTTTTTTTTCTTTTTTTGGGGGGTGGGGTAGAGGATTGAACTCAGAGGCACCTAACCACCGAGCCTCATCTCCAGCCCTTTTTTGTATTTTATTTTGAGACAGGGTCTCACTGAGTCGCCTAGGGCCTCACTAAGTCACTGAGGCTGGCTCTGAACACACGATTTTCCTGCCTCAGCCTCCTGAGCCCCCTGGATTACAAGCGTGAGCCACCGCACCCAACTCAATTCAGTAACAGGGCAGGAGGGTCTGTCAGGGCCTCCTCTGGAAGTCTTAAAAATGCAAACTCAAACTCCTGCCCTTTCCTCCCTGATCCATCTGGGCTCTGGCTCGGCAGATCTGGAGTAGGCCCTGATCTGGGATTTTTCAAGTAGATTAGTGGTTTTGAAACTGTTCCTCAGGTCCCATTGGAGAAAGCTGAGTAGTACCTCCCCTTGGCCCTCCTCCCTCCTTCTCCCACTACCTGTTAACCCCACCCCACTAGGGGGCTCTTCTCTGTGAAAACCTGATCTCACCCTCTGGGTTCACTTCCTGAAGTCAAAATTCTGGGAGATTCTATTTATTTTCTAAATTCCATTTTAACAACAACAAAAAAAAATTTTTTTTAAACCTATATGATTCAAAATTCAAAAGATACAAATTCATTTGCAATGAAAAAATGTCTCCCAGGAACAAGGAACTTCTGCATCCAACTTCATCGGGAAAGATTCTCCATAGAAAAAAAATGCAATCCCACAGTCCCTCAGACTGCCCGGCTATGGATGGGCCCGCACAGGAGGCGAGAGAAGACCCGCTGGGACAGAAGGCTGCTCCCAAGGAGGCAGGGTTACTGCACAGAAGCTGGGATTAGTTCCTTTTGTGTGGCCCCAGAGGCCACACTGGGCAACTGCCCTGAGCCCAAGTCCCTGGGAGTGTACACCTGGATGCAACAGAATGTGGGTCACTAGGGGGCTCTTCTCTGTGAAAAGCTGATCTCACCCTCTGGGTTCCCTTCCTGAAGTCAAGATTCTGGGAGTTCCTGTTTATTTTCTAAATTCCATTTTAACAACAACAACGACCAATTTTTTTTTAAACCTATATGGTTCAAAATTCAAAAGACGCAAATTCATTTGCAATGAAAAAATCTCTGTCCCACCTCTGTCTTCCCCCTGCAGGGCCACGGGACAGTCTCCCATGTGTCTTTCCCAGGAAGTGCACAGACATCCCAGCACCTGAACAGTGCTTAACAAAATGCAAGGCACCTCCCATGTATGTACTTGTTGAAGAACTGGATATATAAGCAAATATATTTTTAATTCTTCTGTAATTCTCGGTCACAAAGTCCTTTCCAAATGTTGCATTCTCTACTGTTACGGTATGTCTCCACCAAAAATCATGATCCCAACGTGGTGATGCTGGAACCTCTAAGAGGAATTAAAGCTTCTCTCTTGGGACTGGATTGGTTACGGTGAGAATGGGTTGTTATAAAGTAATCGTGGTACCTTCCCTCAATCTCTCTTGCCATATGACCTCTCTTTTGCTCACTGTTCTTCCACCATGAGGTTCTTACCAGCAGCCAGGTGAATGTTGGCACCATGTTCTTGTACCTCCATAACTCTTTTCTGCACAAACTACCCAACCCCAGGTATTTTGTTATAGCAACACAAAACAGATTTAGATGTACCACATTATTCTACAACTTGTGCTCTTCATTTAACAATCATTTTGACAACTCACGTCACTAAATATCTAAGGAGAAAATTCTAGGGCATTCCATCAGGCCAGCAGGGAAGAGGGGAGATGTAAGCTGTCATTTTTTTTTGTGCAGACATATGCATATCAAATGGCATCAGAGCTGTCAACTCGAATATCTATAGCCTTCCCTGGACACCCTTTTGAGCGTGCTCTGCAGAGGTGATCTGGAGTAAGCGAGGCTACTAAGAAAGTCGCTTAAGGGACGGGGGCTGTGGCTCAGCAGTAGAGTGCTCGCCTTGCACGTGCCAGACCCTGGGTTCGATCCTCAGCACCACATAAAAATAAATAAATAAAGATATTGTGTCTTACTGAAAAAAAAATATTTAAAAAAAAAAGAAAGAAAGGCGCTTAAGCTGAAAATGCCCCGAAATACCCCTCACAGAAAACCAAGAGATGGTACCATTCTGCCAGCAGCAGTCACATCTCCAAAGCCTGGGAGATGGTTCCCAGATGCCACACAGCCACCACCTACCTGAGCATACTGCTCCTTGAGTGGGCCAGAAAGCCGGAGAATAGCACAGATGTCAGCTCCAAGTCTGTGGGACAGGGAGATACAGGACCCAGTCAACCTAGGGCTTCCTGGAGCCTCCAGGCTCCAGAAGAGAAGTCCAGAGGCCTAAGTCGAGCCCTCATTTCTCCCACTGCTATTTGTGTCACTGTGGCAGCTCTCAACGCCCCTGACCCCTTTTCCTTATCTATAAACAGGGATAAGAGTTTCTTTCTCCCAAACAGGATTATTATGAAATTCAAATGAATATAAAGGAGCCCTGACGCTAACGGATAAAACGTAGGATGATAAGTACACTGAGAACCTCCAAGCCAGGCACGGAGGCCCACACCTGTGATCCCAGGGGCTCAGGAGGCGGAGGCAGGAGGATCACAAGTTCAAAGCCAGACTCAGCAATTTAGTAAACGCTAAGCAATTCAGCGAGACCCTGTCTCTAAATAAAATATATAAAAGGGCTGGGGCTGTAGCTCAGTGGCAGAGCGCTTGCCTAGCATACACGAGGCACTGGGTTTGATCCTCAGCACCACATACAAATGACCAAATAAAATAAAGGCATTCTGGGGGACTGGGATTGTGGCTCAGCAGTAGAGTGCTCACCTAGTGTGTGCAGGGCAGGGCGCTGGGTTCGATCCTCGGCACCACATAAAATTAATAAATAAATAAAGGTATTGTGTCCAATAATTTAAAAAATATATTTAATAAACAAATAAATAAAATAAAGGTATTCTGTCCATCTACAAAAAAAATTTTTTTTAAGCAGGGGAGCGGGAAGGGCTGAGACTGGGACTTGGTGGTTAATTGCCCCTGGGTTCAAACCCTGGTGCAAAAAAAAGAAAGAAAGAAAACCCACCAGGCCTCCAGGCCTAATGATATTCTGCCTCAATTAAGTTACTGCTAGTACCCTAAACCCAGTCACCACCAGGGATATCTCAGCCTCAACTAACTTGGTCACCACAACATAAAAAACTCATCCCTTCAGTTGTTCCATGATCTTAGCCAGTCATTTATTGGGCACCATATTTGATTCCAGGTAACAGAAATATGAATGAGATACACAATTTCTGCCCTGGCCTTGAGGTGCTCACACCTACACTTAAACACCAACGTGGTGAGATGAGTGTTCTTATTTTCAGATGAGGACACTGAGGCTAAGTGAGGGGAACTGACTCACCTGAAGCAACCCTGTAACTAATGAAACCAGTATGAGTAAAATAAAAATAGCCAACATTTCATTCCTGAGCCTTCTCTAGATGCCAAGAATTATTCTCTAAGCCATTTACATGCATTACCTCATTTAATTCTTCCACCATCCTGTCTTTGTCTGCATTGAACAAATGTCAAAACTGAGGCAGAGTCAATATGAAATGTGTACCAGATGGGCCACTAAGGCTGAGCTACGATGTGAATCCCAGAAGTCTAATCTCAGAACCTCTGTTTCTTAATGCTATTTAACTTCCAGAGCTGAGATGCAATTTAGGAAATGATGGTAGATACTTGGTGGTGAATTTGTGTATAGATCTCTGCCCTGGAATCCCCCACAACCTCTCAGAACCCCCAGGATACCCAAAACAGTTTCCTGACACCACACCCTACTAGCCCTCAAGGGGAGAGGAGCACCTGGCGTGTGGTGCACCTATAATCTCAGCAACTTGGGAGGCTGAGGCAGAAGGATTACAAAGTCAAGACCAGCCTGGACAACTCAGTGAGAATCTGTCTCAAAATAAAAAACAAAAAGGACTGGGGGTGTAGCTCAGCGGTAGAGCACCCCTGAGTTCAATCCCCAGTATGGGGAAAAAAAGCGGAGAGGAGCCTCACTCCACTTTCTCCCCTTCTTTGCTCTCCTAGCCCAGTCCCCAGCAAAAATGCCAGACAGAATACCTTGCTCCAAGAAAAAACAATGAGCGAAGGCTAAAGGCATTATTATTATTTGGGGGAAGTGGTGAGCTAAAACTGAAATAACCCAGTCCCTGGAGTCAATAAAACTGAATTTGAATCCTGGATTCGCCACTTAACTTGCAACCCCAGCAAATTTTGTTTTTAACTTTTCAGAGCCTCCCTTGCTTCATCTGTCAAGTGGAGAGGCAAATAACACTACACGGTACCTACCAAAGGTTATGATGATTAAATAAATTAATACAGGTACAGTGCCTGGCATATAATAAAGACTTATTAAATCCCTACTATTAGGGGTCCTTGTCCTCAATGAACAAAGATTGCCTTTGGAACCAGACACATACGGGGTATGTTTTTAAAGAAATCCCTTATCTGTGCGTCAATTTCTTTGTTTGTAAATTACCTCACAGCACTGTCATGAGAATAGGAAAAGTATACAGAAAGTGCCTTGGTAGTCACTGTTTCATTGGTGACTCCTGGAGAGACAGACCTACAGCTAAGGGCTTTGCAGAAGTAGTCGCCTGTCTTTGGAGTGGGCGTGTGCAGACGGCTGTCTTAAGTGATGGTGGCAATCCTGCATCTTCTCCTGCTCCTCCTGCCCGGCCACCAGAGAAGCTGGGGTCCGAAGTCCACTCCAGCAGACCCACACGCTCCCCTGGGTCGCCTGACCAGTGAGCTCCCTGTCCTCCTCCTCCCCTCCCCACAGACACCTGCTCTGCAGCGCCTCGGTCACGAAGTCCTTCCCGGATTTTCTCTTCCCGCTAAACAGCAGCACCAGTCGGGGGGCGCCTCCCTGCGGGGCCATGAGGCCACTCGGCTTTCCTATCCCTAACGCGGACCCATCGTACCCCTGAAATCGGGCCACTCCGCGCGAAATGGACGTGGCCACTGGGAGAGGCAAGGAGGAGGGATCCTCTCCCTCTTCGTAGCTGTAAAGAGGACTGAGGTCCCTCCATCTTCCATATGTTTTAATTCATGACTAAACAAGTACGGAGAGAAGAAAAAAAAGGAGAAAATGTACATACACAAAAGAGGCTTATTTCCAGGGCAGCCTTCTCCCCTAAAGAAGCTCCCCCTCTGGAGCGCACTTGAGCCAGTCCAGCCCCGCCCAGAACCGCACGTCACGGCCGCGCCTCCGAACCCGACGGGCGGGGAGGAGTCGGACGCAACTACTTTTCTCAGAGGGGGATAACGTCTTAAAATTTCCAGAGGTGGACCTCATCTTCCCCCCAGATAGCCTAAAACATGATGAAAAAAATATTATACCTAATAATATGGGAGGATTTTTCTCGACTGCTTTTTTACTTGTGTTTTATGACCCATGTGATTAAACAAACTTGTATTTGCCCCACAGTGGAAATGGGTCTTTCTGGAGATGTAAAACACGGTAATGACCTGATGGGGCTGTGTCTCGTGACGTCATCCCGAGGGTGGCGCTTAGCCTCGCACACGCTCGCTTATTGTGAAACCGGTTTTGTAAGTGGGCAGGCCGATGGGATGTGACCCTTTTGACCCAACAAGAAATCTATCCCTTTTCTAGCCGCATCCTGCTCTCCAAAGGTTTGGGGAAGCTGGAAAGCTTGGAATGACGTGGCTTTGGATGAGATTAACCGGTTTTATCCGGAGACCAATTCCCGTCCAGGAGTTGAGAATTAGTTATCTGTCCCTTCCTCCAGTGTCCAGTTCTGCCTCAGCCCGCTCCACGACACCTACTCCCAGTTAAGTAGGCACAGTTGTCTTTAGTCCTGAGTCTCTGTCTTGCATTTTTCCGAGCTTGTCAAAACAGAGCCTGCAGTTACTGCCTCCATATGATGGGTTATCAAATCATGTGAGAAGAGACTAAGGGAAGTGAGGAGACGTCCTTGAGATAAACCCTGAATATTGAAAAAGAGGCACAAAAGAATGATAAGATACAAAGAGAATAGATTTCAGGAGGATTTTTTTAAAGCAACTCAAAATTTTAACTGTGCTCATCAAGGCACTTCAGACAGGGCAGAGTGGAAAGAGTTTTGATCCTAGTTTTGACACTTCATGGGAATGTGACCTTCAGCCAGTCAAAACCTTCGCCATCGACGATGCCCACCTCACAGGATTGCAATAAGAGGGAAATAAAGAAAATATATGCTAACATGCAATAAGGCACCTCATAAATTCTAAAGTATCATCCAGTTGTAAGGGATTGTTATTTGCTCTTAGCCCTCTCTGTTTTTATTATGGTTTATAATTCAACCCAGGATCGGATTTTCCAGTTCACCTTCTGTAAACATTTACGTGGGCCTCCACTGAAAGCCCAGATCTCAGCTAGACCAGCAGAAGCTACAAGGGATAGCTCCCTTCTCACTTTCCTGCTTTCTAATTACTAGAAAAGAGTCAGAACTTCCCCAAGTGTCTCTTCCCTCACCTGACCCAATCCGCCCCTACTTCCCTCGTCTGCTCTGAAATCAGACTCCCTGAAATTTCCAGTCCCTCATCAGAAAACCTCCCGCATCCTACCCTCTCCTCCAGCTTCTCTATCCCCTGCTGGCTGCCCTCTCCCGTGGAGCCTTCCTTCTCCCCCAGCCCTCAGTCTCAGCAAGGCCTCCCTCTCCCTCCGCTTCATGTTCCAGTCCTTCACCTGCCTCTGGGAAAACTCCAGCTCCTCTAAGTTTCTTGCCACCTGGCTGGGCTACCCTTACCCTCCTCAGGATTAACTGCCACACATCATGGTGGCTCCTTCTTGTTCCCTGAGACTTAATCAATGGCTTCTGTGTTTTGGTTTTTTTGTTTTTGTTTTTATTTGTACCAGGGTTTTGAACCCAACGGTGCTTAACCACTGAGCCACATCCCCGGCCCTTTTTTATATTTTATTTAGAGACAGGGTCTCACTGAGTTGCTTAGGACCTCGCTGAGTTGCTGAGGCTGGCTTTGAACTTGCAATCCTCCTGCCTTAGCCTCTTGAGCCACTGGGATCACACTCATGCCCCACCACACCCTGTGGCCTTGGTCTCCTTTTCCTCCTAGTTCTTGTCATCATTCTCAGGGACTTCAGTCTCACTGATTACCTCTTCTGGCCAGTTCATTCAACAATGATCTGCTGCTCAATTCCTTGGCCCCAGATGATCAAAGCTTTTTTCCATTTTTCCTCCAACACCAGCCCCTATGGACACACCCCCGGCCTTGTCACCACCAGAAAGCCTCAATCTGCCAGTGCTCACACTTATCCACCCAGCTCTTCAAGAATAGTCACTGTGGCACACGCTTATAATCCTAGGTACTTGGGAGTTTGAGGCAGAAGGATCACAACTTGGAGACCAGCCTGGGAAACTTAGCAAGACTTTATCTCAAAATAAAAAATACTAAGAGACCCAGAATAGCCAAAGCAAAAACCCTTAGCAAGAAGAGTGAAGCAGGAGGCATCACAATACCAGACCTTAAACTATATTACAGAGCAATAGTAACAAAACAGCATGGTATTGGCACCAAAATAGACTTGTAGCCCAATGGTACATAATAGAGGACACAGAGACCAACCCACATAAATACAGTTATCTCATACTAGACAAAGGCACCAAAAACATATATTGGAGAAAAGATAGCCTTTTCAACAAATGGTGCTGGGAAAACTGGAAATCCATATGCAACAAAATAAAATTAAACCCCTATCTCTCACGATGCACAAAACAACTCAAAGTGGATTAAGGACTGAGGATTAGACCAGAGACCCTGCACCTAATAGAAGAAAAAATAGGCCCAAATCTTCATCATGTGGGATTAGGCTACAACTTCCTTAACAAGATACCCATAGTGCAAGAAATAAAATCAAAAATCAATAAGTGGGATGGATCCAAACCGAAAAGCTTCTTCTCAGAAAAAAAAAATTAGTGAGGGGAATAGAGAGCCTACAGAATGGGAGCAAATTTTTCCACATGCATATCAGATAGAGCACTAATCTCTAGGATATACAAAGAACTCAAAAAACTTAACACACACACACACACACACACACACACAGATAACCCAATCAATAAATGGGCCAAGGAACTGAATAGACATTTCTCAGAAAATGATATACAATCAACCACCAAATATATGAAAAAATGTTCAACGTCTGTAGCAGAGAAATGCAAATCAAAACTCCTCTAAGATTTCATCTCACTCCAGTCAGAATGGCAGCTATTAAGAATAAAAACAATAAGCATTGGCAAGGATGTGGGGAAAAGATACACTCATACACTGCTGGTGGGACTGCAAATTGATGCAACCAATATGGAAAGCAGTATGGAGATTCCCTGGAAAACTGGGAATGGGGCTGGGCATGTGGCTCAAGCGGTAATGCGCTCGTCTGACATGCGCGGGGCGCTGGGTTCGATCCTCAGCACCACATAAAAATAAATAAAGATGTTGTGTCCACCAAAAACAGAAAAATAAATATTAAAAAATTCTCTTTCTCTCTCTCTTTAAAAAAAAAAACTGGGAATGGAACCACCATTTGACCCAGCTTTCCCACTTCTTGGTTTATACCCAAAAGACTTAAAAAACAGCATACTACAGGGACACAGCCACATCAATGTTCATAGCAGCACAATTCACAATAGCTAAACTGTGGAAGCAAGCTAGATGCCCTTCAGTAGATGAATGGATAAAGAAACTGTGGTGTATATACACAATGGAACATTACTCAGCATTAAAAGAGAATAAATCATGGCATTTTGCAGGTAAATGGATGGAGTTGGAGAAGATATTGCTAAGTGAAGTTAGCCAATCCCAAAAAGCCAAAGGCCCAATGTTTTCTCTGATGTGTGAACGCTGATCCATTATGGGTGTGAGGGGGAGCATGGGAGGAATGGAGTGCCCCCACTGGCTCAAATACTCCCCAGCCAGAACTTGCCTCCCAAGCTCCCCACTAGCCCATGAAATTCTCTGCTATATAACAGCTGCCTTTCCTTCCTTCCACAACCCAGGGGAATGTCAAGGAGGTACCCTGTGCAAAGCCTTGGCCAGCTCAAGGGCTGCCCCTAGGGGCACTATTCAGAGGCAGGTGCTGGTGAGTGGGGGCAGGAAAGGGAAAGTGCAGCCCCTGGGTAGAGCCCGCTGGGGAAGGGGGCAGCCAGAGTCCTTGACCACTCAGACGGAAAGCCAGATATGTCTGCCACCACTGCCACATGGAGGCACAGGAGGAGGAGGCCTAAAGAGCAACAGAGAGATGTCTCCCCAGCTCAGGAACCTCTTCCCCAGAACGCCGACCAATTAAGGAGAGGTTTGAAACCAGGGGGGTGAGGTGGTGCGAGTCTGGAATCCCAGTCACTCAAGAGTCTGGGGCAAGAGGACCCAGTTCCAGGTCAGCCTGGGAAACTCAGTGAGACCCTATCTCAAGATAAAAAAATAAATAAAAAGGGATGGGATGTGGCTCAGTGGTAGACCAGCCCTGGGGTCAATTCCCAGTGCCAAAGAAAAGAGAGAGATTTGCTTCACAGGCCAAGAGGACAGCCTGGACATCAACCGCAGGCCTGCCTTCTGTAGTCACCCACCTGAAAACAGTGTGAGCCTGGGGGACCCGCCCACCCAGCGCTGCAGAAGGAGGAAGAGGGTCGGCGCCACACAGGCAAGACTGTCCATCGTAGGACGAGATGCCGTCCATCTCTGGCTCAGGGACATCCACTGTCCCTGCTTAACGTCATGCTTCTGACTCTAGTTTCTCCTCCCACGGCTGTTCCCAACCGACCCAGCCAATCCTCCACCCTGGCCAGTTCTTTTTTTTTTTTTTCTTTCTTTCTTTTTTAGTTGTAGGTGGACACAATACCTTTATTTTATTTATTTATTTATTTTATGTGATGCTGAGGATCAAACCCAGGGCCTTGCACTTGCTAGGTGAGTGCTTTATCACTGAGCCACAACCCCAGC